TGGGTGGGGCCGCGCGTCCTGGGGCCGGGGCGGGTGTGGGAACTGCTCGCGACATCGAGACGATCCCTACCACCGACTGTCACCGCCCCCTGAGAGCCTGACATCTCACCTAAGAGGAGAATACGAGAGCCTCGCTTTAGTAATCATTTCATAATTTCCATATTCTGAGCGCTCGGGTTCCTGGCCATTGGCCCAAGGCAAGGTTCAGCGCTCACACCTCTAGGTAGTGGAGAGTCTAAATGTCCCCATTTGGAAGAACCGGAAACGAAGGCGCAGAGCGGGGTGGGGCAAGGTCCGGGTGGGGGTTTGGTCTCTGCTTGAGGGGGCTAATCGCAGGGGCCCAGGCTGCAGCCCAGATAAGAGCCTTTGGGAGCACGGGGGCCGGCGGGGGCCACACAGAGGGCGCCCCTTCTCAGGGGTGGGCCCTCCTCCCCATCTTACCGAGCACCTGGGACGGACCCGCCAGGCTCGACGTTGCACCTCTGTCTCTTAGACTCGAGGGACCCGGCGCGAGCGACCTGGCCGCCTGCCCCGAGCCGAGCCACGGTTTTCACGTCTGTAAAATGGGGATTAGAGACCCGAAGCAGCAAAGGGCTACGGGGAGTCACCGCCCCCTGAGAGCCTGACATCTCACCTAAGAGGAGAATACGAGAGCCTCGCTTTAGTAATCATTTCATAATTTCCATATTCTGAGCGCTCGGGTTCCTGGCCATTGGCCCAAGGCAAGGTTCAGCGCTCACACCTCTAGGTAGTGGAGAGTCTAAATGTCCCCATTTGGAAGAACCGGAAACGAAGGCGCAGAGCGGGGTGGGGCAAGGTCCCGGTGGGGGTTTGGTCTCTGCTTGAGGGGGCTAATCGCAGGGGCCCAGGCTGCAGCCCAGATAAGAGCCTTTGGGAGCACGGGGGCCGGCGGGGGCCACACAGAGGGCGCCCCTTCTCAGGGGTCCCCACTGGGTGGGACTAGGGTCCCTCATCTTGAGTGTTGGGTTGGGATCTTGTGCAGCCCCTCCCCTCCACTAAAGTACAAAGCATTGCCATCTTCTGGGGGTCCTGTCCCGTATTGCCCCCCTCTCCCAAATTGTAGGCCCACTGTTGGGGGAGTCCCAAGCCCAGGAGACAGGTCTAGGGCCCAAGTCCTGCCCACCCCTGGCAGAATCCCAGCCTCAAGCCCCAGGGCTGCCTGCAGTCTAATGGCAGCAGGTGGCAGGGAGGCCACCACCTTTAGGCTATTAAACACCCAGCCCCAGCTGTTACCCCCCCACACACACCCACACACACCTGAGGGAGGGGCCCAGAAGTCTGCCTGGGGAGGGGGAGTTTAGAGACCCAGGTTAGCTGGGGAAGGAAGCCATCCATAAAGGGCCAGGCCCCAGCTCTGTCTCCAAAGTGCAGGGGAGCCCCCTCCACACCCAGAAAGAGCCAAGCAGATCAGAATGCACCCCTGCCCCACCCCTCTGGTGCCTTCGTTCCCTCCATCTGTACAGTGGATCAATATTAATTCATTCCTTGCACAGCAGGATCCCCTGAGAGCAGGAGGGGTGCTACCCTCTCCCCATTTTCCAGGGAAAAGCTGTAGTCCACACCGAGCTAGATGCTGCTTCCCAGAGGTGCCCTGCCCAGGAGGGTGAGGGACGGCAAGATTCCCAGCTGCCTCCCCATGAGGGGGCCCTATTTTTAGCCCAGGGAGGGAGCTGGAAAGTGATCCACAGCCTTGCGGGCTCTGCTACTGGTGGGCAGCAGGCCCAGGTTCCAGCTGGGTCCTGGCTGTGTGATTTTAGGTTAGTTCAGACACCCCTCTGGTCTCTGTTTTTCAACCTGGAAATTAGGCACAGCAACTCCCGTCTTACAAGGTTTCTTGGCCAGACCATCTTGTGGGGCCCCTGTGTGTTTTGGACAGCCCCTGGGGGAAAAACCACAAAAAACAGCCTGGTTCTTAGCCCTCAGCCCACCACTCAACCTGCTCTCCACCCTGAGAGGGGCGTTGGCTCAAAAATTCACCCAGATCTCAAACTGCCTCCCTTCCCACATTATTCCTGCTCAAAAAGATCCCCACATCCGAGCCTTTGCACTGGCCATGCCCCCCACCTGAGGTGCCCTCCCCACATCACCTCATGACCCTTGCCTTCTCCTGCCTCAACTGGACCTCAGCTCCCTGGCGGGTTCGTCCCTGACCCCCCAGCGTCAGGTGGGCCCCATGACCCCACTGTCACATCATTCTGTTTTGTCCTCATCCAGGCACTATTTCAAGACAGCTGTATTTTTTTAAAATTGATTTGAGAGAGAGAGGAAGGGGGAGAGAGAGAGAGGTGGGGGGAGAGGGAGAGAAAAACATCAGTCGGCTGCCTCCTGCACACCCCCTACTGGGGATTGAGCCCGGGAACCTGGGCATGTGGCCTGACCAGAATGGAACCAGCAAATCTCTGTGCAAGGGAGGAGGCTTAACCAACTGAGCCACACCAGCCAGAACAGAATAGTTGTATTTATTGAACCTACTCAGCCTTGTCCACAACTGTGTCTCCAGCCCTGAAGCTGAGTCTGGCATGTAGTAGGTACTCAATAAATGTTGGCTGACTAAATGAATTCATGTTCCCTCTCTTCCTCTCACATCATACACCATTTTTGGTGTCTGTCTACACAGAGGTGGAGGGCAAATTGAACTATTCACCATATAC